ACATCCAGTGTCAGGCACATTATGCACCTTAATAATTCCGAATAAACTCAATCTACAATTATTCCTCGTAACGAATAAAATTCAACAAAGCTCAATAAATGTTGGATCTAAGTAAAATAGAACTTTCAATAGTCAGACACTTTAAAATACGTATTTTGTGCCTCTAAAGCTCACTGATAACCAGATGAACACAAACAACGAGATACATTCGTTTCAATGCTTAACAATTTCACCTCAAAACTCATTTGCCCCTCTTCCGCCGAAGCAAATAAGAACTTACAAAAACAACCCCTTTGAATATTTCATCCCCCTTATCGGATGCAGCGTGCAAACCGGAATCTTCCCAAATTTTTTTCCTGAATCCTTCCTCTTCGAGCCTCCGCTGGTCCCCCTTGTTATCTGATCGGCAGAGGAAGCAATCCCGAAGTGCCTGTTGCCCGGTAGAAAAAAAAACACCCCCGGAACTTCGCACGCAAGGGGGAGAAAAAGGGAAAAATGTGAGAACGTTCGACGTCGAATTGACCAAGCCGCGCAGCGCCGCAATGTATCTCGATGTGGCTGGCGATCTTTTTTCTCGCTTTCGCCGGTTCTTGGCCGGCAGCACGGAAACGCGGGGCAACGGGGTGAGTTTCCGCGATAAGTCCCACGAGCATAGAGCCGTCGGCTGAAAGGCTGATGCATAATTGCGGCTGGCAGCAACAGGTACTCATTGAGCTCGGGCGGAAAAAAAGGAAGCGCTGTTAAACGCGTATTTAATTCGCGGGACGTGTGATCGTCGCGAAACGTGTTGGACACGGGGTGAGGATGATCGAGAGGGGCTGGCCGGCGGGGAAATCAGCTCGCGAGAGTTACAAGGATTAATGAAGTCTCGTTGATCCATGACCCTTGAATTCTCCACTGGAAAATTCAATGGATCGCCTTGGGTGGCGCATTTGATCCTTTAAAGGCGGTCACGTGTAAAAGGACTCTGTTGCAAGTAAAATGGCCGACGGAGGAAGATGGAGGATGATAGATCGCGCGCGGGTACGTTGCGCTAACGGTATTTCGTCGCGGTGATTAATAACGAAGCAATAAAAGTGCGCCGGGATATACTGATGCCGCGTTATCAGACGCTACGTTGAGTGAATGAGAATGAACAAGAAAAAAAAGTTGGGCTTGTACTGGTAGATTAAATATTGTAAAATTCTGAACGGTGGTGCCATGTCCATCTTTTAATCAGTGTCAAACCAGAAACGTATAGGTCACTTGTGTAACGTAATAAACGTGAAATATGTTTCGGTCGTGTAGACGGTGTCGAGAATGATGGATTTATTGAAGTTAAGCAAACAGAGCGGACGGTTTGATTTAAGATGGGTGACCCAAAAGAGCGGTTTTTTGAGAACTTTGGATGAGGTATATTTATTCGAGTTTTTCTTTGGATTTAAAATTCTTTGGTTATTTGTTGATATTCTTTGGATACCAAAAGCTTTCAATCTAAAGATCAAATTTGTGTATCTTCGGTTAATAATTCTTTGGATCAAAACTTTGAATCAAAAAAAGCTACTTCCGTAAATTACTTCACGAAGAATCCAAGAATAAACCAGAAATATAGATTCTAAAGCAAAAACGAAGACTACGAATTCTTTGGATATTCCAAAAGCACAAAGTTTGTCAATTCAAGAATAGCATTGCATATATTGGGATCCATCCAAAAACAAGCTCCAGCAATCGCAGGGGTAGCATGATTCCCACCAAAGCGCCGCGCGTGTAGAGTCAACTGTATCAGGTTACGATGCAAAGGACCCAAGGATGTCGCAGTATCTCTCCTCACAGCACTCCCTCGCCGCAGTAATCTGGCTTCTGCACGTGACCGTGCGCGCAATATCTGCAGGGTCTTCTGTACGAGTTCTCTACACCGTAGCGGAACTCAAGTGGTCCAACCAAAATCCAAAGTAAAGTCGGCCAACATAGTTCCAAGTAGTAAGAGAGGAGAGAGTGGGAGACGCCCCTATAAGTGCGCGGAGGCAGACTACTTCACGAAACTATGGGGAAAATCTTCCACGCTCTTCCGCGCATCACACCGAAGTGGAAGTACCCGAATTACGTCAATTAAACCCGGCATAAAACTACCCCTCGGGCGACCAGTAAAGCTCGCGAGTCCTCACGTCGACGCCGTAACGGCCGCGCGGCCGCGGACAGTAAAAGAGGGAGGAACGAGATCAACGGTGCACGTCGCGCGCCGGGCTTTCACAAAAGGCCTTGGATATCATGAACGACAATGAGACGCCGAAGGAGAAGCCTCTGGAACAAAGTGTCTCGACGCGCACAGTCTCGTGGAAGTGTGTGCGCGAGTTTGTATCACTGAAAGGAGCGCGACAGAACGTCGACGGCTATGTAACGGACTCGGAACGACGTGGAAAGGGAAAGAAGGAAAGTAAAGGAAACCCGAGGAAGGGGTTGAAACGGCGAGAGGGGATCGTTCGAGTCCTCTGATCGGTCAATAACGATTTCCAGGGAATATGTCTCCGCGAGCATTCGTCCGCGTCGTTCGATTCGGCTCGTGTCCGGCATTGCCTTTTAATCTTGTAGCTTTGCCTCTTTTAATCTTGTTCCACCGGCCCTCTGCCCTCCCCGCCGCTCTTTCACTCTCTGCCCCCTCTCCAGGTTACGCTCGATGCAATTTCTCCTTTCGGTCGCCCGGACCAGGTTGGAAACGTCGCTCATCCGGCAGCCTAGCAAAAACACGGACGTCCGAACTACTGCGCAGACGAGATTTATGCTCGAAGGATCTCTCGGACTTCCGGCTAAGAAGATCAGTCGGACGGCCGGGATAATGGGAACTATGAGAATAGTAATCCACATGGATCCCTCGGGAAGTTCTTCGAGACTTTCACCTATTGGATTTTTAGCCTACTTCTCTAGCTCCCGGACATTATCTAGTTCATTCCAAAGCAAACCTTCGATTGATAATCGAAGATCTAACTACCGATTTTTCTAATCACGGTTCAAACTTCTTGTACATCTTACAGAAGCTTCAATTCGAAATAACCGCATGTTAGAACTATCTCAACACTCATCTACCTCATCCAAAATGACCCATTGAAGACCTCCAACTTTCCAATCTTATTCAAACAAGACCGTCTCTAAGAATCCAAGACAACTTCCTGCGTCTTGGCTGCGCAGGAAATAACCACGGCTCTTAACCTGTGGTCTCGAACGGAGTCAGTTATCGCGAACACGTGCTCGACGTTACAGCGTCCCGTCTATTCCGGATTCGAAAGACAACCCGCGGAACGATCGTCGCCGGGGCATTGTCATTTCCTGATACGCGGGAACTGGTCTCGAACCGGGGCATCCATAAATCTGAAGGTACGCTAAAGGATCGGCCGAGGCAACGAACAACGAAGCCACGATATAGATGACAAAAGTGGCGACACCGTAAACTTCCTCCCATGATTTTATTGACCGAAGGGAACGGCGGCCTACCGTTCGGAATAAGATGCAAACCGGCGCTCACTACCCGACAATACCGATCGATCCTATCTGCTCCTATTCGAGGAAATATAAATCCCGTTTAATGCACCGGCCACCTAAACGACGTGGATTTGCGAGCAACCAGAACGGCCATTGGAGCCCGATGCGAGATTGATGCGCCACTACCGCGCGCTGTAAATATCGGGATCCGTCCACGGTGATCCCGGGGAATTCTGCGGCAATGATAAACTTAAATGACCACCCTACACCTGAACCTTCCACGGGTTATCGGGCAATGGCGTGGCATCGTTAAAAATATTACGGAGCGGATATTGCATTTACCATGGTGTTAACTTCTGCTCTATTGGGTATGAAGACTTCGCGTTGCTCATTAGTCCTTTGTAAGAATTCGATAATTACATACATCGAAAGTAATCGTAGACTCTGTAGATCCAGATTTGTCAGTACCTGTTACTTTAGAAATGATCTGATACTATACATATATAGAAACTCTTTAAACTTAAGAATATCAGCTTGAAAGAGAATCCAATGCAGGAAGAATAACTCTATCCACTTTATCCTACGTTAACCCTTTGCACTCAGATATTTTCCACTAGAAGCATTCAACGTTTTCCGACAAATCATAGACAACGTTCTTTGAAACCAACCAATGAGGATTGAAGAAACAAAGCTATATATTAAAAAATATTTCACATTATATGAAGCTTAATATTATATATAACCTTATAATTTTACTATATCAAATCTACCGGTGACTAACACTCACCCCTCGAGTGCAAGGGTTAATCTCCGTGAAATGACAAGTTTCTATAAACAAGGATACTGTATTCAGCAAAATTCGCTGGGTTACTTGTTAGTTCGTTTAACCAATTAACTGTATTTGACGAGTATACACGTTATCGTAAAGCTTGACACGATGCTAATTCTTTCAGCCATGAATTCTTTATTTTTTCACATAAACATATAACTCTTCTTTGTTTCGCTTCGATCTTTCATTAAAATATACTCAACATTCGTCCTGCGTTCGACGAGTACACGCTCCATTTTTCAATTTCATCGCTCGCAAAACCAGAGGTTTTTCCAACTAAGTTCCACAGTTAACTGGTTAATAACACACCGAGATTCGTATGATAATCATGCTGAAAGATTCAGTAGCTGGGAAAGCGCCTGGTTCCGAGGGGCTCGATCCCGAAACTCCCTGTCTGTTCGCGTAGTTCGCGCGTTCCCCGATGGAAATCGCGTTCCGCGGGAATCGATTCACGAGGCGTCGCCGCCGCCTCGGCGTCGCTGGGGTCGATCTTCAATGCGGTAGACAAGCGGCGATCACTCGAGATCCCCGTCCGTCACGGTCTTTCCTCGAGGATCGAGCAACTTCGCGGCACTCGACAATATCTACGGGCGAAGACGGAAACCGGAAAAGGGTTCCGGAGCGACGGTAACAGTCGGACGGGCCGCATAAATCAGCTGCACGAGAGAGTCTCGAGTGAGAGGAGGCGTCGAGGCCGGCAGGCCGACCCGTCAATAAAATGCAAACGGGGAAAGTTACAGCTAAAGATCCGCCGCCCCCGGACCCGCACAGAGAGTACTTGGACGCCCCGTCCACCGACGAGGAAGAGCAGGGCGGTGAGATTTACGAGAAAAATATTAAATATCCGCAACCCTTAGGCTCCCCACCAAGCCTATCGAGTCTTCCATTTTCCGCTGGTTCCGATTCCGTTAACGACCTAACCTCTGTCGAGTTGTAATTCGAGAAGCTTGGTGGTTGATGGGTTCCATTTAAGAGGATAGCTCGAATATCGGTGATTCTGCGCGGGTGACCTTTAACTTTTAACTTAAGGAAACTGTTCTGTTAACAGAATTCATTGTCACTGAGTTAATACTGATAATTACTGATGATGTTGATGTAGATTTCGTTTTATTGGAAGTTTATTACATTCTATCCTATAAAATTCTCTGTTTTACGTATAATCTCTCAAATAATTTACTGTCCTCGCTTCCGAGCGACTTACTGCGATCTATAATCCCAACTACAATCTTCAAAGGTTCATCAAAATTTCATACTTCATTTTTTATTAATTAGACCTATCCTGGAAGAAACTAAAGTATCAATCTACTTTTCTCTTCCTCGAACTTGCATAGAAGCAATACCATTTTCCGATTGTCTAGCAGTATTACTAACAGTCCGTTCCAAAAGTAACCGGAACAGTTTTCTATATCCACCGAGAACGGGAAGCTCGATTTCCGGTCGCCAACAATGCCAGCCAATTGACCGAGAACGATAGGAAGGATATCGATACGAATAGGCAGCGGGGTTGAATTATGACGCTTAAGGTGGCCACTGGTCGACGATTAATCGGCCGTTCACGGTGTTGCCGAGTTCCTAATTTGTCTCCCGGATTATGGTAATTTAAGCTTCCCCTCCTCCGTTCGCATCCCTCCCCCGTCTGGAGCCGATTTCTGGGGAACGCGGCTAATTCGTCGAGGCTCGCCCCTCGTCCGAGAAAGTAGGCAAACTAGATAAACCAATAACCCCCTCCATACCCGGACGGTTCTATGTGGTTACGCGCGTACTACCACGGTTCCTGCCTCGCAACGCACGTGCACAACATTGCCCGGAATATATTCGGCCGTTTCAAGGACCGAAGATAAACGGGCGAACGCTGCGAAACTATCCTCGAACAATTAGTGTCGCCCGGTGAACTGCGAATGATCGAGGATGGCAATAGCGTGGGAGGATCTGCAGCAACGAAGCTATCGATCAGGCGCATTTTTATGGTGAAAGTGGAGTTTTGTTTGACCCCGGAGAGCCGATTGACTTTGCTTCGCGAAGATAACTGATGAGGGAGGAAAAGAGGAAAGGAAATATGAAAGAGTATGATAAAGGAAGAATGGAAATTAGAAGAGTAAAATTTTGGAGAAATATCTATTTTCATTGATTTGAATTTCGTAAGGCATGGAATGTACGATTAATATAGAGATAATTAGAATAGAATAATGAATCAAAAGAGAATGTCATTACCCTCGAATTTCGAGAGATTGTACTTCAAAAAGGTTGATCCCTTTATCAGAGAATCTGCCCAATTTCTCCCCGCGTCGGTCATAAACGCGTAACGAGGTTACAAATGTAACAAGATTTTTATTTTAATGGGTACTCGAGTAAAACGTGAACGGAAGAATTGAATATTTAGGTAATCCCCGCTGCGAAAAAAGGTGTCGAAAAATCCGCGCACAGGGGAGGATCGCAGTAATGAAAAACGATTAGCTAGATTACAGATCGCGACGCTTCCGTTTCCCGGAAGGGGGAGAGGGTCGATTCGCATTACCAATCGTTCTATTGAACACCGAAACCTCCACCCCC